TAAGTATTGAAGCAATTCACAGAAATGTTTGAAAATGTTTGAATAGAAAAATCAAACGAACGTTATCGAAAGTTAAATGGCGTTGGCTTCACAAAGTTGAGCTGAATTAACGATTTGAACGTTTGAGAAAACTTAGAGACTAATAATTATACATACAGATCTATGAAAATTTATTTCCCAAATAAAAACACATTAGAACTTTCGAGTTCAATTAAATAGATAAGAGTGATGAAACAAGTCATCGATTTGTTTTGCAAAGCAATAGGATTATTGCTCGCGGCGCAATAAAACGAGAAATTATGCGCTACTTACGCCTCGCAGTATGGCTGTTTGTTGAAACCCTTGTACGTCCGCATGTTCAGGATCATGCCACAGCCCTGACACTTGAAGCACTGTTTGTGCCATATCTGCAACAATTGTATTTCACGATTAATGGTATTTCGCGACGAACGAACGCGTTTAGAACAATAATAACACATTTGACAAATCTACAAACTCGTCAATTTGCAAATCGTTGACTCAGGCAAAATCGTCAAGTATGAATAAACAGAGTTAAAGGACAAAGTGAATCAGCCAATCGACAACACCGAGAACAACTCTCGTCGTCAGCTACTAAAACCAACAGTTTCGCCTGCCATATATTTTCACCCACGTGCAGAGAAAAAAAAGAAACATCGATCGTAGGTTCGGGGGAACTTTCGGGGGAAACAAAGGGCGCTTAATCATGGCAATGCCTTTGTTTCATTGTTACTCATCTAGGTAGCATCTAACGATAAGCACGCAGCCTCTCTCGACATTGTCTTCTCTCGCGTGAGAATTGACAATAAACACGCACTCTGACCCAACTATCCATTTCCTAATGATAAAGATAAATACCCATAATAGCACCCTTCGATAAGATCGTTGGCCGTTCGACGCAGTGAAAAGCGCGTTATCACTTCTCCGCCGATCTCGGGTACCGATCGATTCGAGAAGAGATAGCCTCGAAGAACTCTTGCTAAATATTTTCGACGTTGAGTCGCAGAAACAAAACACGGTATCAAAATTTTTGTTTTTCTTTTTTGCAAAACACTGGAACGACAGACAGTGGACTTTTAAGATTACGAATGACTCGCGAATCGGTATTCATTTCAAAGTGTATTTATCTTGCTCTATGGGAAAATTGTGCATTTACGTGTTCTTTAACCACTTGCGCTGGGCAACTGACTGCGGACCATAACGAGTGACCGAACCGTATACAACAATTCGTCGCTTTCTTTTTGAACTCGTCGGTATGACATCACCGGGTAGAAATTATTCAGAAGCAACAACAAATTTATTATTTGTTTTGCCCGAGTTATACTCAAATATACTTAGAACTGAGTTAACTACTTAAAATTTTGTTGGACAAAAAGTTTGTCATCCCAGCGTAAGAGGTTAAAAGCTATACTTGAATACCCGAAAATAAAAAACAAAACAATTTGGGAAAATAACTTGGCAGTTAAAATCGCAGAACTACGAAATTTCTACAGCAGCATGTAGTAGAAATAATAATATCGACTCCATCGATTCAAAGAGATGAACTCGAGTTGAAAGGCGTTCTGCTTTAGGAGTCGATCCATCGATCGAGCGTTTCTCACAGCTGACCCGGAGATAACCGAAGGCCGTCATAGTTGCCGGTCGATAATTGGCAAGGTTGTCGGTGATGTCAGATGTCGAATAAGGTCGCGAATCTTGGAGGAGAACGACCATCGCGGGAAGGCCTGCACCCGGAAAGAGAGAAATGACTCACGAGCATGTGAGTCAACTGTGATCGCGGTCGACAAAGGCTTGTAATTGTTCCTCGTGGTGGAACCGCCTTGTCTCTCGCGGAACGCTTTTTATTCTCCTGTCGTTTCACTGTTTTTCGGATAAACGCTCACGTAATCGCGTGGGCAAGGACAGCCGTCGTTTGCAACAATCTAACGATCTCCACAAAAAAAAAAAAAAAAAAGAAAAAAGCGTAGAAACGTCACAAAAGAATCGGAGAAACTCGTGAGAGTTTGCCTTATCATATTCTTCGCGCGTGACCTTCCAAAGAGGCCGAGGAACGAAGAAGAATAAGAGGGGGGAAAAAAGGACAAAGAACGACCAAGTTGGAGCCGCGACGAGCCGATTGCTCGTGCAATCCGGTCACGTTTCGATTTCTAGACGATGCAGGTCGTCAGTGTCACTCCACGGAGTGCGGTACACCCGGCGGAATGCATCGTCGAACGAACGAACGCAACGGTACCTTATTTGTATCGTGCAGGCAATGTTAATCGCGTCGCGCAACAAAATGCCGTGTAGCAGCAACGCCGCGCTGGATCGTGCTCTACAGCAATGGGAACGTTAGAAGTACTAAACGTGCCGGGTTTAGAGCACGTGACGCTGTACCCTGCATCTCGTTGCTTCAATTTAGTTGCAATTAGTTGGCCGCGATTAGCGGTAATTGCTCGCGGTCCCGCTTTCCAATCCGGCCGATGAACAGTTAGTTTCTCGATCGAGCGGGGAAAAACGCTTCTCATTCGAGATTCGTCAACGTGACTCGTACAAACGCCTTCAAACGGCATTGTCGAAGGTGACCAAGGTTGAGAGGACAGATTTGAAGTGAGGAGAAACGAAAAATTGACGGATCGACGCGATAACGTAATTGGTATTTTAACCACTTGCGCTGGCAACTGATTGCGGACCATAAGGAGTGACCAAACCGTATAAAATAATTCGTCACTTTTTTATTTTTGATCTCGTCGGTACGATATCACCGGATAGAAATTATTGAGAAGTAAGAAATTTATTATTTGTTTTACCTGGGTTATAATTAAATATACTTAAAACTAAGAAAATATTGCAATTTTTGGGACAAAAGTTCTCGACGTGCGTGCAAGAGGTTAACCACTTGCGCTGGCAACTAATTGCGGACCATAACGAGTGACCAAACCATATAAAATAATTCGTTGCTCTCTTTTTGAACTCGTCGGTACGATATTACTGGATAGAAATTATTGAGAAGTAAGAAATTTATTATTTGTTTTGTCTGGGTTATAATTAAATATACTTAAAACTAAGAAATATTGCAATTTTGAAACAAAATTCTCGACGTGCGTGCAAGAGGTTAACCACTTGCGCTGGCAACTAATTGCGGACAATAACGAGTGACCAAACCGTATAAAATAATTCGTCGCTTTTATTTTTGAACTCGTCGGTACGATATCACCGGATAGAAATTATTGAGAAGTAAGAAATTTATTATTTGTTTTGTCTGGGTTATAATTAAATATACTTAAAACTGAGAAAATATTGCAATTTTTGGGACAAAAGTTCTCGACGTGCATAGCACGTCATTAACTCGGCTCCAATGAGTTTAAAAAAATGACGTTGTTATCTGAAGGCATTGTTAATCGCAAGGTATCAGTTCTCTTGCTATAACAAGGCAAGTTGGAGATAAATCAGTCATTTTGGTAGAAAATTAAATTTGGTTGCAAATTACCCTGACTGTTTCACCCGTTGTTTCAAACATTGTGAAAATCGGTACCATCGCCGACTGTAACTCGCTTGGACAATTGAAGCAAAGTTCCACTTTCCTCGTGTTTGAATCGTGAAGCATCCCGCCAAAACGAGGACTCGCGATTGCGTACACGCATCCAAAACGATCTCACGAGTAGCGGCTGAACACGATTACTCAATTACGGTTGCGACCGGATTATACAGCCGATATTCACGAACGTAAAATCCACGAACGATGCGCACTTTCACTCGTTTTTGGAATGTTTTTCGATGCAACGGCCGATTCCCCCCTATCGTTTCGCAACATGTTTCACCGTAACGCCGTAAACGTTGTCCAAGATCAAATATGGTCATCCGGTGTTACAATGTTGCATACGATCGCCTCAATTAATCCTGCAGGAAACCGTATCTACGGTTTAATTGCAACCGAGCTGCGGATATTTATGCGATGATTGGTGTTTTTTTTTTTTTTTTTATTTTGGTAGATGAAAAAGGAATCTGTTTTGCACTAAACTGCCCATAGCGGAAACTTGTTTCCGCTATTAAACACGATAACAAGTACAAACTTTCAAAATTTTACATATTTTCACGCAATGTGCGCTTAAATTTCTAGTTACAACTAACAGTTTGTACAATAGTTCGTACTTTCTTGTACAAAATTGTGTCTCGTGTATTATGAAATTAATCACAATAAAAAAAAAAGCGAGAGAGAGAGAGAATGAACAGAACGAGCAGAATTTTACGAACACGATTTTAGAGTCGCTCGCGAATCGAATCGACTCGGATGTTTCACACACTTTGTGCGTTGGAAATTTCAAACAAATGCATCAGAAAATTCGCCGAAACTCGAAAGGGAATTTCGTGCGTGATCGTTTTCGGCGTGTTACGCAACTGGCAAGGAACAAAGGCAAAGGAGGAGGACGGCGAACAATCGGTCGCGTAATCGTGCACGTTGAATAATCAACGATGGTTTGTTCCGTTTCCTGGGTCGCGAAGAAAGCCACGGCGTGCGAAATTAGATCGACCGGATAGTAAACGGGCAATCGTATCGCGGAATGGAATGGAATGGAATCGAATCGAATCGAATCGAATCGAATCGAATCGCGTCGCATCGTGTCGTGTCGTGTCGTATCGCGCGACGTCCCCGAAAGTGAAAGTTGCCGCGGCCGAATCGCTTCTCCGCGGGACAATGACAGCCAAATGATTCCGCACGACCTTTTCTAACCTGCTAAATATCAAACGCGTTGCATATATTCTCCACGGCGATGCGAGCGTGCAACTATCTTATCTCGTCGCGCTCGCTCGTTCGAACGAAATTTTATTCCGCTGTTCGCGCTCGCTGGTTAGCATTTCTCTTAAGTTTCAAGATTAGGAAAAACACTTGTACGAGGGAACGAGGTGTCCGATTATCGATTTCGATGGAACTTCGCATAAACGTAGTCTCTCGAAAAAATGTTTCGACACGCATTTCCTTTTATCGAGATGTGAATAAATAATGAATTTCTTTTGTAACGCAAAAATCAGGCTCCCAATTTATCCGCAATCTGTGTTTGAATGTATAGCTTTCATAAATGTATTAACATTTACTTGGAAATATAAAAAAAAAAATACGGTTTTTTTAAATATATTTTCTCGCAAAGCGGTATACACTTATTAAGTCTCATCAAGAAACAATAATTTCATCAATTAACGCAAAAACTGTGTCTTCTAATTCTCGAGACATTTGACAAAATATGATCTGCAACCCCAACTTTGAAGGTATTATAGTTTTCACATCCCCTTCGACATCGACGATTATTGATAAGAAAGAAAGATGCGGGTCAAAAATATTTTTTCGAAAACTACATTTATGCCAAATTTCATCAAAATCAGTGATATTCACTGACACTTCAATATGTTCCCA